ATGTGGACATTTTGAACAAAATAACTGCTTAGCTAAAGGATTTATTAAATCAAAAACTATTCTTACTGTAGATGCTTATTTAGGCTTAAATGTGAAGACTCTAATAGTGAATGAGGGGCGTAGGTAAAAAGAAATGGGTTGAACTTCCCATCACTTTAATTCAGCCTTTCTCTCTTTTTATATAAAAGAAATAAAAATATGCTGCTTATTTTTCTCCAGAATCTTTAATGTCTGTATTTTTTTTTTTATTATTATTGTAAAATCTTTAGGGCAGAAAAAAAACTCCTATCCAATTCTTTAGCAGGAACCCTGTACCTTGCTGACTGTGGTGCACTAGGAGGAAACCACACAACAAGATAATGAAACCTTTGTGGCTGCAGGAGAAAACTGCAAGGTCATACGCCGCTCTAACCAGTTAGAGCTCACACTGCGGGAAAAAAAAAAAAAACTCTGTGCAGATAAATAAAAATTAACCTGAAATACTTTAGACTCCAGATGGGGGAAGCACCTTCTATACCTCTATAAATCATGAGTAGTACATGTGGGTAAATGTAAACGTAGAGGTTTGAGGAACTTGAGACATGTTTCAACGGGCAACACGTATTCTGTAAAAGTCATCTGTGTAGGAAAATGTGATGACAGGCCTAAAAGAAACAAGAACCAGTTTGTATTTAGATCTCTGGAAAAGATCCAATTACATTTTTTAGAGTGAGACACATTATTTGCTTCAAGAAGGGTTATGGAAGGCAATCCAAACATCATTAATGCTAAGCGATATCCTGCTTTGTTTTAATTACTGTACATGTAATTTTAAAACAATTAACGATGTGACTTTTGAGATTTCTGCCATAGATGATTAGGATCCACTTGGCAATCCCGTCATGTACCTAATATGAAAGTGTGAGTCAGCTCCTTTGCCTTTTTTCCAGATGTTCACAATAGTAAAGCAACACCTGAGTTTTTTTTTAAGGTCTGGCTTTGTGACGGAGTTGTGTGTAGTCAGTAATTCATCATCAACTGAGAGCTCATGCAGAAATAAAAAAAAAAAACGCCATCATTTAGAGCTCTAGTCATTTTTGAGCATGGCTGTTGTCCCTAAATATTAAATACACTAAATGTCATGGTTTTGGTTATGTTATGCTTTACTTTGCTCCTTGTTTTCTAGTTTTTATTGGTTTAATTCCTATTTTGTTGTAATTTCTAGACTTATGTTAGTTCTCATGTTGTCCTCTGTAGCCCTCTTGTGTGTGTGTTTGTTCCTTTCCCCTTGGCTCCCTCGTTGTCTCCTCACACCTGCTCCTTGTCAGCTTGTTAGCCCTCCCTTTGTCTCTGTCAGCTATTTATGCTCTCCCTCTGCTCTCACTCTTTGTTGGTTCCTTGTTGTTGCTGGTCCTGTCTTTGCTGTAGTCGTCTCCCCTCGTCTCTCCCTGGCTCCTTCTACGTGTTTTCCCTTGATGTCTCCATGGTTCTGGTCTGTTACATTTTTAGTTGGATTTTTGGACTGCCTTTGTTTACCATTTTCATTAAAACTACAAGTATTCACCTCTGCCTCTGCATTTGGGTCCTCCAAACCACAACCAACCCTGACACTAAATATTACAGATATCTAAACAATGATATGATTTGGTTCTGAAAAGGCTCCTTTATGGAGAACATTTCACAACAATGTTATGAGGAGCTCATATTCTGCTTGACGCAGGGAGCTCTTTATCTAAATGAAGGATTTATCCCGACATAAATGTGCTCTCAGTGTGTGCAACCTTCAAATGTTTGGGGTAATAATACTTTTTGACCAGATGTTTTCATTTCACGAACCAAATCTAGCTGAATTAGTGCGTTTCAGAATGACATCAGCAAAGTTGGAACAAACATGAAGGAGGTGCAGGTTCAGCAGATTCCAGAATAGCTTATTTCCCTCCGCCATTAGACTGTTGAATACAGAAGAGGATTAGGGCCACTGAAAAAAAAACAAAAACTGATTTTTAAATTTTATTTCAGTTTAACATGGGGAAAAAAAGTCAGAATTCTGACTTTTTTCCAATACTTAAAAAAAAAAATTTAATTTTAATTTTTTTTCCCCACTGGCCCTAATCCTCTTCCGTAGCTAAATGTTGTATAAAAAGGTTTAAAAAAAAAAAAAAAGCACTGAATGTTGGAAGCTAAATCATATTCCAGTCTTATGTTTACATTTTATCACTGCTGCACTTTAAAAATAGAAGTCTTGGAAATTAAAGTTTAAATTAAAGTTACAGGAAATTAAAGTTTCAAACCAGATGCGTTTTCATTTTATTCCATCATAAAGTGAAAACATAAAGAAAAATAAGAAATCAAGAAACTATTTTATTTTCAACAAACAAGACATGTGCTGCCAAACCAGGAAGTTTGATTCATATTTCTTATGGTTTAACTCATTGGTTCTAGACGACTGTTGAGTCGTGACCCAAATCTTTAACATGCACTGATGCCCACCACCCCACACACATGTGCCACATCAATATACATTTACATACAATCACTTAGGAATTCATTTCAGCTATTAGTCTCTCTCTCTGCTGCGTTCTTGGCTTTATCCTAGACATGGTCTCGAGGAGATCACTGTCAGCTCCAATGAATCTGTTTGTTTTTTTCATGTATTTCAGTGCAGAAAGGTTATTTTCACACAGATATGTGGATGCAAATAGAAACATCATGTGCAGCTTTTTACAATGCTGCTTAGTCTGTAGCTAATGACAACCCCAACCTGTATCAGGATTTTTTTTATTGCCTTCGTTTCTGGTTAGACTTAAGACAAAGAATGTCCCTTCTCATGTGGATCTACAACAAAACATCTGCAGTAAAATAATAAAAATACAATATAGGCATTTCTTTGGTAGAAACCAAATAAATGATACATCACCTCACAGGAGATTGAATAACAACAAAATGCTCACAATAAGACAAAAACATTTTCACACGTCAGTGCAGGCTAGTTGTTTAGGAAAATAAAATACAACCTCGATTGTTTAAGTATATTCAAATATATAGCCTATTAATATAAAATATTTAAGTGTTAATTGTACTACAGCCTTTTATTTTGCTTTATTTTTTTTTGTTTCTAAATCCTGCAGTTTGGTTTTTAATCCCTGCCACTGTGCTGTTTTATAAGTAGGCCTATTTGCATTGAATAAAAAAGCCCTGTCTTTGAATGGCTGGTGGTGAAGTTCATTTGTATACAGCGTTAGAAGTGAGCACAGAAAGTTGTTGTCGAGTGCACATTTTTAGAGAGGGTCTGTGAGTTTAAATGCAGCAGCTAGTTTTTACTACATGCTCAGTTCTGTGGCACAGAAATTATTATTAACTGAGGAGCAATAATTTGTTTCATAGTTTGAATGGTTATTTCGTAACTCTCCATAACTTCCTCCAGCTCCTGGAACATTTCAGCATTTCTCCCATCGACTTGCAAAGCCAACTGCTCTAGCCATCTCTTAAAGGTATAGTGGAGGATTTTCAGAAATTTTTGAAAAGTCCTACCATCTCCACTTAAAGAAAATAAAAAATTTACATGCACAACCCTGTACCCGCCTATTAAATGCATGAGAGTGCATGCACAAGCCTATTTCTCCTTGTGCATGCTCAGTTTAAATGTGTCTGTATGCATCACTCTTACAAGCTTACTTTCCAAAAGAAGATTTGCAATTTTTCCATTATGTCAGACTCAGCGGTAAGTGAAAATGGGGACAAGCACATAGGACGGCCTTACGTACACATATCACCAGAATGATTGACAATTAGAAGGGCCACTTATTTAGATGATCCACCCGTAATAAGAACATCCTCCACTATAGCTTTAAATGCTGTGACATTATGGGAGAGAATAAATCATTTGTGTTTGGGCCCTTTAGGGACAAGTTGTAGCTGTTTAGTTTGTCAGAAAAGGTGTTTGTTATGCAAGGCTCACAAACCCATGTTGGGTCTGTCAGATAATCAGTAAAAGAGGGAAATAGCCTAGAGTCTGATAAAAAAATATATGAACCTCCTCCGGCAGTTCGAAGAGCCTCGTTAAAACTTTTTCATGAGAAAGCTAAAATAGAAGTGTTTCACGGCCTGCTCACATTTCATCATAGATTGTGGCAAAATGTCTGCTTTGCATTGTCTGGGATTTAATCAAATTAACAACCATAACGGATGTCTGAAGAACATCATGAAGCTCTACATCCAGACACCTTCCAGCAGGTGGGGATCATGCAGAGCAGAGATTTAAAATGGGAGGCTACCTCCAAAACGCAGGCCTTCAAACCTTGCCTTCCCTTCTTCATAGATCAAGCTCCCTCAGTGAACAGATACACACCTCCCTGTATAAGAAAAAATAAAATTAAAAAGTTTATAAAAGCCTATTTGAGACCAACCGCTCGCCGTACGGTCGGAAGCTAGATTAATTTTGTGCATCTATATTTTTCCCAAAACGATTTGGCGACGCCCAGGAACCATCTCACCTTTCAATAACTGGTTTAGGTAACACTAAAATAATTTAAGCTTAAAAAAAACAACCAATAAACCACCAGCATGATGTGTTATACCTAATAAAGTCTGTAAATGATAAAAAAAAAAAGCTTTAAAGAGATATTTATCTGATTGAGCAAATGCATTAATTAAAGCAGTGGTTGGTTATTTCACTGTATGTGCAATAAAACATGAAATTGATCAGAAATAGATGACTTAAGGCATTTGGAGCCAATGTCTAGAGGTACAAAATACAGAGTTTAAATTTATTTGTTGCAAAGCTGACATTTTAAGCATAAATTAAGAGACAAAGTCTCCAAACAGCTTATGCATACAGGTTATATAGTTTGAGAAACAGTAATGTGTAAACAGAAAACCAATAAATCCCTTTGACTTTTACCAAAGCTAAACAAAAATGCAGTCTGATTAGATTTTTTTTTTTTATGTTGACTGACTGTTGTTCAGGTATTTCTTTAAGATATTTTAAGCCTGCATAAAAATATGTAAAGCCCAAAACTCAATATCAAAACTGTTTAAGCAGAATTTGAGTTGATCTCGTTGAGATTTCAATTTAGCAGGGAGCCTTTTTACACACATAAAAATAAACCTTTGGAGATCTTCTGCTCGGTTTGGTGGTAATGATATTCAGTCTCTGCTTCCATGTTGATGCTCTGGTGCTATGATGAACTGGATGAAGAGGAGGAGAAGGAGAAGGAGGAGAAGGGGAGGACCGAGGAGGATGGCTGAGCAGAAGACAGGAGCTGTTCGGACCACGCCGGCTCATCCAGGTTTATTTCAACAAATGGAATGGTGGAGCAAACTGCTACATAAAGGAGAAAAAAGGTAAGTCAGTAAGTGATTATTCATTATTTAATCTACTCTAAAGACAACTATTTTTTTTTATTTATTAATAGAAATTTAAATAAAATCAACTTTTTCACATTTCAGTTTATCTCCCTTTGCATTTAATTTTGCTAACTTTAAACTAAAATATATTCTTAAATGTGGAGGTTTTTAGATAAATATACCTTAAGATGCATTCTAATAAAATTATGCAGCAATCATTAAATGTTCAACATACATTTTTCCACACATACAGGATAACACTATAACAACTAGCTTAAAAAATAAATTAGGGACAAAGTTTGTTTTTGAGCTGTAAAGTTTTGGTGAATCCATTTGTAAAAGATATTTGCACTGAAAGGGGAAAAAGTGCTTTAATACCTGACATATACTGATAGATTGAAACATCTAAAGGTGTCAAAGTTCTAATTTTAACCCAGAAATTGCCCAGAAATTGGCTATTAATAGAGCTTTGATGCAAAATCTGAGTTTATTTATTTCATAAACTAGAAGCTACCAGTAGCATGGAGGTCCCAAAGGGTTACACAAATTAACCTTCTGCTGTACAAAAGCAATTAAAACTCTAAGNCCTTCTGCTGTACAAAAGCAATTAAAACTCTAAGCTGCACTGTTGTTTTCCAGTGTTTGTGTTTTCTGTTATTTCCAGGACTAGGTCTAAAAATGAACAATACACATTGATTGGTGTGGTGCCTACTTTATATGAGTCAGATGAAATGGAAATGCTAATATTCTCGTTTAATGTTTAGTTCAAATATGTTTTTCGATCGGAAAGACAAATCAAGGTAACATTATTCTAACAGGCCCCATAAGGAAATCAGGATTTAATGGTTTCCAGATTAAAATGGACTTTTATTTGGGCTGTGTCGCAGAAGAACAGAGAAAAGCTGCAGGTCAGCTCCGAGCTTTCAGAGGGAAGCATGGAGGTGAACTTATGGTGCTCCATTATTCCTATAGAGGAGTTGATCTGATGTAGTCTCTGTTGTAAATGCCTTCCAGTTTGACTTAATGCTTATTAGGAGTCCAGTTTGTGTGGGCTGTGTTTGTTTTTTGTGTTCTCTCCCTCCACCACCGGGTGGCGCCCTCTTCTCGTTGGTCCTCCCACACACCTGCGGCTGGTTGTGCTCATTAATAAAGACTCTTAAGCGGTGGACTGCCACTACCTTTGTGTTTGCCAGTTTTGGGTAGTCTAGCCAAGCTTTACACTGAGCAGGGGATTAATCTCCACATGACTCGTTCAAGTTCCCCTGGAAATCTAAGTGGCAGTCCGCTCCATTGCTCCTCAAGGAACCAACCAAACCAAAAACCTGTCCGCCCTCCAACGAGCCCCCCAATCTCTGGATAAACCCACACCGACTGGATTCTGGGAAGAGAACCTTTTTCTGCTAACATGAGTCCCGTTCATCTCTGATTTTTCCAAGAAGTTGTTCAAAGTTCCCACGGACCCTGAACTAACCTCTGAACTTCCCTTCTCACTTCCAGTTCCGGTTCACCAGCTCTCTGAGTTACCTTGGATCAACCTTATTGATTATTTCAATAAACCTGTTAAACTTTTACTCTGGTTCTCTGACTGGTTTCCAGCATGTGGGTCAGATCTCTTTAAAACACCATGACAATGTTAAATGCAAAATAAAGAACTAAGACAAAAAGGGAAATGACATTTACACCACTGTTTATATGAGTAGCATCAGTCTGGTACGGGTCTATTTCATTGATTTTCAAAGCATAAGTCTGACTTTTAGGGGCGTTCCAGTTGAAATTACAACTTGGAGAGTGGAAATGTCAGCTTACCATGAGCTGGAGCTCTCACCAATTTTTTAACTTGAAAAATTTGATGTAAAATCTTTTTACTAGAATAAAAACAAAGACAATGACGTTTGTTAAAAGAAAATGTTTCTTCTTGGGAGGCCAAAAAATCTATCATTTCCTCCGGTGCTCCTCTTTTCATAATTATCTATGCATAACTATTTAATTTGCTCCTAATCTGTTTAGGATGAACTTTCTGGATCTGATTTCATGTGGAGCTAAAATAACCTTCTAAGGAGAACTAGGACCACATTTTTTGAGTATCATCAGTGCTTCCTGGTTCCTTTATGAAGCAAAAAAAGGATTCATGTAAACAATTTTCCTTCCAGCAGATGTCAGCATAGTTCATTTTTACATTCTTGTACAGCAGAAACTAAATTGTAATACTGAAAAGAAGATATGGGATTAGTTTAAAAAAAATCCAAAAACATCAAACTAGACCAGAGAGTTGTTCTTGTAACAACAGAATTTAACAAGAGTAATATCCATATATGACATAACCTCTGGTAACACAAATAAGTCAACCTATAGGTCAGACTGTTGCTGGTGATATGTTTTTAAATATATTAAATAAACGGTGGCAGAGTGTGTCTTTGTAAATGGCAGCATGTAAAAAGGGCCTAAAGCCGTGTCCTAAGATTTATTTGCTTATTTCTTTGATGTCTGTTCATGTAAAATGTGCTTAGCGTCTAAGATTGGATGTCTTTCTGTCTGAGAGATTTGTAGGCCAGACATAAAGACCTTTTTTCTCTGGGAAGGTTAAAAAAAAGATTGAAAAATTTGCTAAAAGGCACCCAAAGTTTGAATGAAATGAGTTTTAAAAAGCCTGGAGAACTAGTTGTTAAAATCACTTTAAATGAGTGAAATAAAAGAAGGGAAAGAAAGGAGGATTGAAGCTGCAGACATGTGTCACCTACTGGTCAATGTTTCATCAACATAACTCATTCATTAGATCAAAAAGTTACTTTCTAATTATAATTTATTAATTTATAATCATTTATTGCAGTTTAGAGCTGTTGACTAAGGCTGGACCTTTTCTCTTGCCTTTGGCCCTTAATACAGCCAGTGGTTTAAATGTGTTACTGAGAAAAAAAATCCTGAAAGCCAATCAGTTCATGCTGATTGCTTGTTGACACAGATGGACACAAACTTAATGCCAAATGAAAGAGAAGGGAATGTATTTGTGATTCTGTAATTATTCATAACCTGACAGAATAAGATTCTAAATGATTTTCATTCAACTAAAATGTTGAAAGGAGACAGAAGATGTGATGAAAATAAACTAAGGTACTTGTTTTAGCTATATTAAATAAAGCAGCATGTTGATATCTAGTTTCACCTTTCTTTGTGTTAACTGGAAGAATCGCTTTTAGTATTACACCAATTAAATACTGAGCAACTTTTCTCATGTTTCTAATGAGATCTCATCATTTCCTCTCTGTTGAGCTCAAAGTCTTTGAGGTTGGAAAACCTCTTTGCCATAACCCTAATCTTTAGCCGCCACCACAGATTATCTATCAGATTCCAGTTGGGACTCTGGTCACACCACTGAAATGTTCGTTCACTCAAAACTAACGTGGAAAATAAAAGGGCGAATGTCAATCTGTTGAGGGGAAAACCGTTCAAAACATGTCACACCTCAGAACAAGTACTACAGTGTTTTGTTTCTTGACAAATTCTATCTTATCTATCCTGTTTTTACCTTTGCTTGCAGACACACCATTTCTTGAAACTGCATATCGAAGAAGTTATTTTAATTTTGAAATATCATCAACAAATATTTAATTCAAAGTAAACTTTTAGATAATTATTGTGCAACTTTTGTGAGTTTCTTTGCCACCAGAGCTCCTCCCCCTTTGTTTCCCGCTGTTTATTACAATATAAAAGTCACTTTAGTCATCACATTACTGAAACCACTAGGAAGCTCTGCAACTAACTCGGATTTAGCCTAAATCCGAGTTATCAGAAAAAGATCTTTACTTTTTTTTAAGCCACCTATTGATTTTAGATGCGCAGTATTTAAATTAGCTTACATGGATTGTTGTTGTTTTCATTCCTTTCCGTCTGCGGCTCCTCGACTGCATCAAAGAACAGGTTGTTGCTGCTCATCTGATTGGATTTCTTCTCCGCTAGGTCGTCTACTGACAGTGAACTGGTGCTGCTGGTGGACGGGTTCTGCAGGTCGTTTGCTTCTGGCTGTTCCTGAGGAGCTGCAGTGGAGGATAAAAAGAAACCTTTTTTGTACTTGGTCTGTAAATGTTGGCTTCTGGATGGAAACAAGTGATGGTTACTGCTAGCCTGACGTAGTCCTACTCAATTCTAGTCAGAATATGAGTCTGATACTGCTCCATA